TTCACGTATACAGAAAATTCTTTGCAATGATATTCTTCACAAATCATTTGCTCTCAGGTCCAGATTGCACGTGAGAAGAGGAGAGCAGAGGGAAAAATGCCCAAAATGATGACAGGAGGGATGACACTGCCCTCCAGGAGCAGTGTGGGGGCAGGTGCAGAACACAACAGAGATCTGAGCTGGGACCTTACAGGTCTCTGCAAAACCTTGGGGACATTCCCCTGTGAGAAAGGGACACCAAAGTCCCTGAGCAGAGCTGAGCAGGACGAGGGGGGTTTGTTCCTCACACGTGCTCTGGGCATTCATTGAGCTGCGTCCATGGTGCTGGGTTTGGTGCTAAAACCAACATTCACTCACAACCCCTGTGGGTTGGTAAGCTGCTTTTGTACCACTCTGTTGGATTTTCACCCTTGTTAAATTAAAACAGCATTTTGTTTTAATACAGTTGCGAGATTAACACATAAATGAGTTTTTTCTTAGTCCAGGGGGGCTTTACCTTCACCTGTGCCTTCAGCTTTTTGTTCACACTGATTTCAGGTATTCTCAGTGCTGTCCTGCTATTGCATTTCTTTGTGCAATATCATTGTGCAGAGGTTTCTGTAGCTTCATTCTGGCTCTGAATCTGCCAACACACTTCAGGAGAAGCCACTAATAAGGACACAGATTTGGAATTATCTCATCTAATTGCTGGCAGCACAAGGGATGGTGGGGGAGATGTTCTGAGGCATTGCTGGGTGGCCTAACAGTGTTAGTTCCATTAAATCCTTGGAGCCTGACTATCTGTAGTTATTTCCTCCTGGGTAACGAGAAGGATTAATTTAAGGAAACAATAAGAGTAACCACAGGTGGGTGTGTCTGAGGGATGGGGGTGATCCTGGGAGGGCTCTGCTCTGGTGCCAGTGCAGCCCTGTCCAGTGTGGTTTGGGAAGTTCCAGCCCTCCCTGCCTCAGCATCCACACCAGTGAAATGGGCTCATCCCTCACTCACCTGTGGGAGATGATGAGAATTAATGGCAAAATATCCAGGAATCTCCACCTAAGAGGAGTCACACAATGGCAAAGCTGTTATTTTATATTGTTATTATATTTGTATTGTTATTATATTTGTATTGTTATTATATTTGTATTGTTATTATGTTATATCTATTATATCTATTATTATGTTTATATTGTTATTATATTTAAACACCCTGCAGGTTTGAGGCTGCAGTGGCTCCTCTTGCTCCACCTCACTGAGGATGCTCCAGGCCACCACGGGGATGTCACCTGCTGTCACCCCTCTGGTGTCCTCACACATGGGGCCACTGCCCCTGGGGCAGCAGACACTTTCATTGATGCTGCCCAACATTCTGCTTTATTTTTCCCTGCATCCAGGATGTGTTATGGATGATGTGCCCATCCCTGGAAGTGTCCAAGGCCAGGTTGGACAGGGCTTGGAGCAACCTGGGATACTGGCAGGTGTCCCTGCCCATGGCAGGGGGTGGAGTGAGATGAGCTTTGAGGTCCCTTCCAATTCTGTGATTCTGCTTTAAACCACTCTCAGCCTTTTGAAAATTATTTTTCCTGGGTACATTCCCATAACCTGGTCCGATTTTGACTTTGCTTCTAAAATTTAGCCCCACCAGTCCTGAGGTGGGGAGTGAATGATCCCTCCCCAGCTGTGACCACAGCAGCTCACCCTCAGTGGGCTGGGGCAGGGCCAGGCCTGGGTACAGGCTCAGCTTTCTTTCCCAGCTCTAAAGGAGTCAGGATGGGGCCCAGTTTGCATTCGGGGTCTGATTTTAGGAGAACCACAAAGCCCATCACCAGCCACTCTCCTCTGCCTTGTCTTTGAATGTCTGGAAGTGAATTATTTCACATATAAAGAAAATTCTTTGCAATGATATTCTTCACAAATCATTTGCTCTCAAGTCCAGATTGCACGTGAGAAGAGGAGAGCAGAGAGAAAAATGCCCAAAATGATGACAGGAGGGATTGGAGATAAGGAGGGAAAGAGAGAGTAAGGAAAAACCCTAAAGTCTTGATGGGAGCAAGTAGAAAATATCCAGGGGATATTTTTGGAGGAGATGTGACTGCCTCTGGGGTATAATGACACATTTAAATCTGCTCCATTACATTCAGGTCTCTTGTTTTCTCCCCCAGGCTCCCTTTCCCAGGTCACCAGATGAACACCTGAGTCTCCTCCAAGGGTCAGAGGATGAACCTGTAGCAGCTTCTCCACAGGTAAGAGTCTCCAGTGGTTTGGGAAGTGTGTGGGACCACAGAGCCCATGGCCTCAGGGCTTTGGGGCTGCAGCCTGTGCCTGTGTTGTGCTGGAGGTTTGCTCATGGGGCTCTGTGCTCCCTGGTGCTGTGCTGGAGGTTTGCTTTCCACGGGTTTTGTGCCCCTCTGAGGTGACACGGCCCCAGGGGTTTGCAGTTCCTGGAGCAGATGTAGTGACTGAGCATTTAAAAGATGTTTTGAGGGGTAACAATGGATCCAATCTTGGTTTTTCATTTTATTTCTGCTTCCAGTGTGCTCTGGTTTGGTCTGTAGGTGCTCCTGTGCAGGTGTTTGCAGGGATTTTCTGGAGCAGGTACTGTGGGTGCAGGTGGTGGTCACATCTTTCTTTCTGGCTCTTTATTCAGCAGCTGTTTAACATAAAATATTTAGAACCAGAAGCTGCTGCTGAGCAACATGACCAGCAGGTTCCCAAATCCCACCCTCCCTTCCAGCTCCCCCTGTCCCTCACAGCTCTGTCCTTTCCCCTTTCCACCTTCATGAAGTCGCTTCATTTCCTGAGGGAGTCTTGCCTTCCTTTGGGATGCTGCCTGTCCAACTCTGGGGAACCTTGTGGAAATAAAATACTGTTCCTGGAGCTCTTGGAGAACCCTCCAGAAGAAGGTGTTGTGTTCCTGGGCAGGGCCATTGGCCACCAGCTTGTTGTAGAAGCTCAATCCAGGCTCTGATGCCGATGTTGAGGGGGGATTTTAAGGACACTTGGCTGAGGTGAGACAGATGAGCACAGGCTTTAAGTGGAAAATGGGATGGTTTTCTCCCTGCTTTGGAGTGTGCAGCTTTTCCACAGGGATGCACATCCCACAGGAGCAGGTTACAGGTTGCAGACACACGGCCAGGGTTTGTTTCCCGAGTCAAACACGGTGGCCTTGGATGGGCAGCACAGCAGGGAAGGACCAGGAAAGCTCTGGGAATGGGGTCAGGCTGGGGGAGGTGGCGGTGCTGCACCTACAGAAGACACAGGTTTTTCGGGGGGAGAAGCTGTTGGCCTGGAAAGAACACGAGGGTGGTGGGGCACAGCCCAGCGTCCTGGGGAGCAGTGACTGCTGTTCCCTGTGACACAGCCCCGGTTCTTGTCACCCCGGTGAGAGGGAATTGAGGGGACAGTTGTGCTCCCTGGGAGCAGCAGGGAAACACAGGGAACCACAGGGAACCACAGGGAACCACAGTCAGTGTGGCTCCGAGTTGCCTCCACCAGCAAACACTTGCTTGGATGCACTTAGAGCTCATTATCTCCCGGACCTTTCGTTTCACAAGTGTTTCTTGCAACGTGTTTCTTCAGCCTGGTCCAGCTTTGACCTCGGTTCCCAGAGGCAGCAGGATAATATATTCATGTGCTGTGTTGTCTAGCCACTTCACATCCCTCCCTCCTCCCCTCCCTCCACCCCTGTCTCTGTCCTTTTTGGCAATCTGTCATTCCCAGTTTTGGGCCGAGTCCAGGAGCTGAGTAAAAAGTCCTTGGGCAGCTGGAGTGAGATACAATGGGTTTAAATACGCTTTAACGTGTTTGTAAACAACTGCACTTCATCAGGGGCCCTGCCCAGCAGGCTGGCAGCAGACAGAACTGATGAGACTCTTCTGAGATCAGAATTAATTACACTGCATGGAGATGGTGCAAAGCAGACAGTGATGCAGAGGGAAATATCTCCTGTTCTGTGGTCCATGTCGGTTCATTTGTGCTCTGCTTGTCACCGAGGCCACTGAGCACCTGGGACTGCTCCTCTCTCAGCTGTGGCAGGGGACAAGATGAGCAGAGACAGCTCAAAATGTTGGGAGGGCCGTGGAGCTGCAGCACCGTGAGGATGCTCCGCAGAGCACCCGCTGACATGTCATGTTTGGTGGAAATCATCTCTCAGGGGGGATCAGCACAGGGAATAAAGCTTTTGTCCTGTTAAAATAGCCCCATTTCCCCTGAATTCCCACAGCTTGTTCCCGGTGGAAAAAAAAAAATATAGTTTTATGATTTCAGTTGCAACAGGGAATAAAAAAAATCCTTCACTGAGGAGGATTTGAAGAGGGAAACAAGCTCAGAGCACAGGGAGGGGGCAAATGAGCTGTAGCTGGAGCACATGGATTGGGATGGTCCCAGGTAGCTCATTGATCCCAGCCCATGAATTTTGATGAATAAAGACTGAATTTGCAGGTCTGGCTCTCACTCTGCTGCTGAGGGCTGTGAGTGGGGCTGATGTCATGATATCAATGTTTAAAACACAGAGAAGTTGTTCTAGTGGGGAAATCACGGACAAGAAAAATCAAAATGCTTTGGAATAGTCCCCTTTGCAGTGTGGTGACTGGGCTCACACTCCAGGGTTGGTCCTTGGCTGCTCCTGGAGGCAGCAGATCCCTGACTCTGCCTGAGGACCAGGGGAATTGCAGGAATTGGCACCGTGGCTTGGAATGAGATCTAATTAATTAATTTGAGACATGCTGGGATTAAATTTTATTAAACCTTGGAATCAGAGCAGACCAGAGGAAATGTAAGCAAAGGCTGGGAAGGGGAAGGAGGGTGTGTGTGACATGTGCTGCCTCTGCCAGCGCTGCCGGGGCGCTGAGGGGTGCTCAGGATGTCTGGAGATACCTGCTAATGTGTGGATATATTAGAGTCATAGAACAGAATCATAGAATGTCCTGAATTGGAGTGAACCCACAAGGATCGTCCATCCAACTCCTGGCCCTGCACAGACACCCCAACAATCCCCCCCTGGCCCTCAGAGCGTTGTCCAAACCC